AAAAGACATTTGCTCATATTTAACAAATTGCATTGAACAGTTACATCATAACGTTGAACTCTGACAGAGATCTCTCTACAAACGTCTTCTGTAGTCGTGTGGGCTTCCAGCAGCCCTTCACTGCAGATGAAACAAACATCAGTATTTTCCATTCACAGTAGTGAGATGCTCCGGTTCTCCTCATCTCCTGACTGATCCACTCAGATCTCAAACTACCTGAATGTCATCTCTGATAGTCTGACAGGCTGGATAAGAGGCTCAATTTGTCAGTTAAAGGATGAAAAGTGCCACAGTTTGCTTGAATCTGCTGCTGACATCTCATTTAAAACTAAGTGGTGATGTGAATAGATTTCTGATTGTGTGCTGTCACCACTTCAGTTGCCGGCAGAGTGGTTTTATGAATGTTGGGAAGTGGAACTAACACAAACAGAGCTCCAATAAAGAGTGAAGTATTCATGCAGTCTTCACTTCTTTGCATTTGCTTTCAAGGAGCCGAGGATCCTTTAAACAAGTGGATTTCGTCGAGCTTTTCTTAAGGTTTCTACTCTTTGGTTTTTGAGGAGTTACTGCATCTATCACCGCCACCAGGAGGCAGTGGAGTCAACATCACAAACAGTAGGACAGTGTCATCAGGCAGTAACCTCAGCATCCAACAGTCACCAGGAACACTGACAGGAGGTCAGCAGACCCAGAGGAGACGTCCAAGGGCTCCGGTACCTGCCCAGAGTGTTGAATGTACAAAAGTCGCAGTGGCCAGAATTAGTGTCCATCTGGAACACATCAAGAAGGTCCCACTCTCCAAAGACATGACACACCAAGGATCAAGCATCACAGAACCCTGTGACATCTGGACAGGGCCTGGACTCTTTCCAGGAGTTTAAATGACATCTAGCACCATGACAGGTATCAGCTGGTTGCTGATTCAACACCCTGTGCATGGCCTGATGATGGCAGTCACAGCTTTAAATGGTGTTTTCATGTTCCATGGCGACTCTCGGCTCTGCTTTACCACAGATGACCACCACAGGGGAGACCCAGATAGTTTAGAGGACAGTTGACTGAACCTGACATACTCTTGGAGAGACACAGCGGCGTTTCTCCTGATGCCACGCTTTGCCACGGCTATCCCACATTTCATCCAAAGCCAAAGAGTTGACAAATGATCGCATGTGACATTTGTATTTTCTTTCAATCATGTCACAGACTGCCTGGAGAGACCTCTCTCCCTTCAGTATGTCACAACCCAGTAGCACTTGGGCATAACTTTCTTCCTGCCAGGCTCACCAGTCCCTCACTGCCTCCTCCATTTGCTTTAACGCAGTGGTCCTGGAGTAGCTGCCAGACCTTTTGGCAGAATTGTACAAATATACGTAATTCCTCACCACATGTGATAAACGTTCCTCAAAAGTAATCCTATTGTCTGTGAAAATCAGATAGAGGAAGCAGACAAGTTGAAGGGAAATGTCAACATTGCTGTCTGAATGTATTTCTACATAAAATACAAAAACAAACTTCTGACCAATCACAACACATTTCACAGAGCCATGTTGCAGCAGCGGGTCTGGTCTGGAGATGGCTGCTCTCCAGCAAACAAGTTGATGCAATTTTCGTCAAGTTCCTACATCATGGATGATTGATTTCAGTTCTTCTGGAGAAACATGTGGAAGCCTTAAGTTACTTCACTGACTTTTGGTGACCAGTGGCTGTAGTGACTCAGTGGGGAGGGCTAACGTCACGGCACCACCTCAGTGTCCTCATGTCCCACCCATTCCATGACCTCACCATGGGACAGAGTTTCACCAGGACTTTGTGCATCGACATTGAGCATGTGTTCTGCCCCGTCCGCAGGGAGGGTAACTACTGGCACCGGACCACCAACCTCCCAACTCTGTCATCCATCTGATCTGCTGCTACTCGCATGATGCACTGAGACTTCAACACAAGCAGTGTCATGTCCCTTCCAGAGCCTCATCTGTGCACTGAACTTTTCAAGTCAGGAACTGTAGACATTATCATGTTTGCTGATGATTATCCTTTGAATTTCTGGTATTTCATGGAGCCAACAAAAAATATAATAATTTCAACAGGGGATGGAACTAAAACATATTTTAACTCTGGACTGTGTTTGATGACCAGTTGCTCAAAGGCTGACAAATGCAATTAACAAACAGCAAATCTTAGCTTCTGATAGATCCAGTGTATGTTTGATGCTTTCACTTCAGAGATCATAAAAACCATCATTAGATGATCAAGAGAAGTTCTACTGACCTGGGGATTAACAGACCAATGACGAGCCTGTAACATAGGAAATAGGAAATCTCTTGATAACGCCTCATATATTTGCACATCTGCTCTGTCTGAGAGAAAAGAACCTGAAAACAGAAAAGTCAGAAATAAACCAGCAACAGCGATGACTTGAAACTCAGTGGTGAATCAGCCTCTAGGAGGATGTGGAGGCTATTTGATGAGAAAGGTGCAGAAGTCCTCCAAGGTGCAGTCAGCCTTCCAGCAGTCCTGTAACGTTGAAGAATCGACTCTGATATTTATGGCACAAACACATTGAGTTGAGCCAGTTTACCCAAAGATGAGATGGAGTCACTTTTCACCAGGAAATACCAGTCGTGTGATATTTGATGAGAGTCACAGACAGTCTGCTGTGCAAAGATTCTCAGCAGAGTTGTGAATCTCTTCAGAGGCCTTTGACTCATGAAACCAGCTGGTTCCGCCTCTCAGATGTTGCTGTTTGTTCAAACTCAACTCGGATTGTTCTGCAGAGCTGCTGACACATTTCTTCCCATCTTTCCCTAAGTATTTCAGGTCTGAACTTAAGGTCAGACCTCCAGGTTCTGATCCACGGTTGCAACATTGTGCCCTTCAGTTCTGACATCGCTGAGATCCAGACTCAACATAGTTGCAGCTGGAAGGCAGTGTTTCCTGAAATGTGGAAGTTATTGCTCAGGTTCGTCTTCCTGTAGGCCTCCAGTCTGACCAGCTGTCGGTGAAACATTTGGGCTTAACACCTGGCAGGTAGCTGCTCAGAAAGATGTTGAGTTGAGCAAGGCTTTAGGGGACGGACATCAACCAGGTAAAACTTTGTGTGGACAACTAGAAAGTGGTTCTTTGGAATGGCATTCTCTGACAGATTTGGTTGTAAATGATGATTTTTGGCTAATTAACTTTTAGAAGTTCAGACCTACCAAGCTGGATGGTTGGAGTGGATCAACCTGGATCAACGTTCTGGAGCACATTAGCTGAACCCTTCATGAATCTGGACCTTAGTGAGGTTTCGCTCTGCGCTAACAGGAAGTGCCTGTGTGGGATCAGACGGTGGTGACTGACAGCAGCGGACTGGGACACAGCTGACTGTCACTCTCCACTCGCGTCCCATGTGTCAGCAGCTCCTCCACTGTGGTCCAATCATCAAGCAGCTTGCTGTTCCTCAGCCGGTTCTGCTTCAGGTGGCTCAGCTCCAGCACCATCTGAGAGGCCGCTGCCCCCTGGCATCCACCCAAATGCTCCTCCACCCCGACCCTCCTCTCTCTGTGTTGCCTTGATAACGCCATGTGTCGTCTCCTCTCCGTACGGCTCCAGTATCTCCCCGCCCAGCGACCATCCTCCCATTCATCCTCGCTCCTCTTGACCCGTCTCCCCGCATTTCTTCATCCGTTGTGACCTCACTGCGCTCCCTGGCCAATCGGTAAGCTCGGGCTCTGAGCAGCTGATTTCTAAACTGACTTCTGATTGGATAGTCTGGAGCGGGGATGTTGGGGATCGTGCGCTTCGCTCTGGAGCCCCCAGTGTGCTGTAGAAGGGACCGCAAGAACTTTTGGGTTTTTCCATGTGACTCCCGAGAGTCTGAAATGCTCGCCAGTCTGAGACTCCACTGACTCCACTGGAGGCAGATCCAGGACTCTTGGAGAGGGAGTCCTCCTCTCTGCTCCGGTTTGAGCTTTGATGGTTGAGCAGACTGACTCTGTCTAGGCTGACCTGACCAGTGGGGTGACAGTTACTGGGGTAACTGGCCCTGCTCCTCGGTCCCATCGTGCTACTGCTGGGACTCGGATGGCTGTCCTGGTGAGTGTTTCTATGGCCGTTTGGGTCCGTCATGTTGGGATGGCTTGCTCTGCGGCGCCGCTGTCCTTCACTCAAATCTGTTATTGTTCGACTCCTCCCTGGAGCCTCCATCTTTCTGCCTCCACCCTGCTGTTGCTGCTCCAGCCACAGTGCCCTCCGCTGGCAGGGCTCGGTGCGACTACCTGCACACCATAAACAAGTAGAAGTTAGATGTTTATATTCTTGCTCTTATTTAAGTACATAACTGCATGCAAACCTGTAAATATAATAATTGCTTTGTGAGGCTTTTTATTGGTACCACCCAGCAAATGACATTTATTCTGTACCCAGAATGCATTGTTGTAGTTTTACAGTAAATAGTTTAAATATTGATGTCCTACTGTGGTGAGTTAGATAAAATCAGCAACAGAGTTAGCAAACCGCACAGGAAGGTCAGTGGTAATAAATCTGACCCTTTATTACCACTGACCAGAGACGTCATGTCATTGTTGAGATGGTTGCGCTTTATAGCTAGTAGCATGATGACATAATCCTCTAGAGTTAGCTCTAGTAGGATCAGTACTAGATGTACTGATCTTAGATGTACTTTAGGATCAGTACATCTAGCTTTTCAGTTAGTGTCACTCACCCATAGAGGGTGATGGGGGTGAATGGTGGCGAGGTAACGTGGGACTTCTCTCCGCTCTGTGGAAGTGAACCATTGTGGTCGTGCTGTTTCCCACTGAGCACCGGGACGCCTGTGCTGGTCCAGAGTGGGTCATCGGCGTTGTCTCAGGGATGGACTCCAAATCCCAGCGTCCTCTCTGCTCTCGAGGAGAGTGGCCTGAGCGGAAGTGGTGAGCCTGCCGGTGGGTGTGGGCTGCTAGGAATCTTGTGTAGTCTCCTGTGCTCGCCGGTGCTGACGCTGTGGAAGCCAGAGTGCTGGGTTCGGATGAGATCAGGGACTCCGAGGATGAGGAGGAGCCTTGAGAGGAAGGGGTGTGGCCTGGTAAGGATGACATAGCATCTGTCTCAGCTTCTGAGAGCGCCACCCTGTGGTGCGGGCTCAGGACCACATCCCAACCCGCTGTCAAGCTCGCTGAGGGGCAGGTAGCTGAGAGGGCGGTCCGGCCTCCAAGGAGGTCGGTAGTCAGACTAAAAAGGCAACAAAAAGGTGAGTTAGTGATGGAGATAATCGACGCATTTACCAAACTTTTAAGACTTCCTCTACGTCTAATAGTTCAACTACATACTTCCCCATCCAAACCAGACTTTATAGGCAGGAATGGAGTCCAATCATAGATAAAACAGGATGCTGTGAACGCTGCCTTAAAGATTGTGCAATTTTCAAACCAGCAAATTGTCGAAATCCAACTTTAAATCAATGAGTTAAGTGCTGACCCCAACAAGCACACATTTTCAGTCAGTTCCACTGACCTTTACAGATCTCCAACAGAAACCAGTTTGAGAATCAGGAAGTAATTATATTTCAGAACTGATGGAAGACTTGTACCTCATGTACCTGTCTGGGGAAACTCCTCGGCTTCCCTTCTTCTGAGCTATAGCAGCCGATCAGACAGCTCTCTGAGTTTGGCTGGTAGGGCAACATCTCCGGACCCTGGAAGATAAACCGGATCAGAAGGGCAGAGCGCATCATCGTACGCAGGTAAATCTGAGAGCGAGGAAACATAAAGTCACCTGGTAGTCCAGTCGGTCCAGGTGGTCCAAGCTGTACGAGACACTGGGCAGGTAGTTGTTACCGGGGTGTTGATCATTTGATGCTGTGGGGAGGTAGCCATTGGGTGGATAGACATCAGGTGAGATCATGTGGCTGTTGGCTGGGTAAGGGTCAGGGGTCACAGTCATGTGACCATAGTAGCTCCTGTGTAAAGGAAGAGGCCAGCCACATCAAGCAGAAGGAGTCATGGATGGAAAAGTGATGAGTTCACAGTTGGAATTCCACAGCCAAGCGTTCCAATTGGCTACATCGGTACCAACTGAGGACACTGGTATCAGTTACCAATGCTACTGCTGACATTGGTAAGTAGTTGGCACCAATATATGCAAATAAAGGAAATACATTTCTTTATTTCCCACAATCCTAATGGATATTACCAAGTGTAATTAGCTCTTTCAGCTGCTAGCCGTGTTTGTGTCCATCAGGGCAGCAGGACAGAGCGCAGCGTCATCTCTGCTGGCAGCGCCGGCTCTGACCTTATGGACTCCATGTCACATGGAAAACAGTTCGATGTGAACAACGTTTGAGCTGTTTACTACCGAGTATGTGGTCATAAAACGTGATCTTTGAGCGGACATGTCCGACTCCGCAGAGCGAAGAACACCCAAGGCATCAGTGTGGAAGTATGCTTCACCAGAAACCCGTCCTGCACTGACCTCAGCAGAACCGCCTGCTGCTCATTAATATTTATGACTGCAGTTTTTTTCCTGTCGGTCCACCTCAATTTTTAAGCTAAAGTTTGGGCGTCGTCACAAAAATGAATCAAACTCCATTTAATGCACTAACATTTTCTCTGCCTCCTTCAGCAGAACCAGAACCAGAACATGTCCGTTCAACATCTCTTCTTTTCCCAAACGAAACAAACTTCCTGGATGTTTATGAACGGCCACATTTTCCAGAACCTTCACCGTGTTGCTGTTTCTTTCTACAGATTTGTGAGAATCCTGCAGTTTTTATATGTCTCCCTGATTCCAGTGAGCTGAAACTTTATTAAAGAGACAATGTCATGTAGATTCATCCCATTTTAGCTTTCCATCATGTTTTCATGGTGGTTAATCAAAAACCAACCTCTGGTGTTGTTAGGGTTAGCTGTGCTAAAGACCTGGGTGGACCTAGCCCCGCCTCCAAGGTGCAGCTCCTCCCCACTCTGCTCCTTTAGACTAGCCAGCAGCAATTAGCAATCATCTGGTGGAACTGCTGAGCTCATAATAGGAGTGTGACGTTAAAGGGTTAATAGAGGAGCCATGTTGGGATGACTTCCTGGAGGCGGAGCTTCAGAAAAAGCAGGAGCTTTTAAAGAAACAGGCCAAATCAGGAAGTAAAATTTATTTTAAGTCATGTGATATAAACAGCATTTTTATAACAGCTGAAGCTAACATGGCTACCAGGTTGTGCTATAAGATGGAAAACACAGAATCTGCCCCTTCAAAGGTTGCAGGCCGAGAGGAAATGAGGCAAACCGAGAAACTTTAGCAGACAACCTTTGCGATCACTTGTTGCCAGATGTCTCAGGTTCTGCAGAGCGTTGTGTGTTCGATACCCACCCGGCGCCATAGACGTCCGGCTGGCCCTCGTCCCCCTCCACCAGGCCCAGGGCCCTCAGCGCCTCCCAGTGCCTCTCTGATGGGACGCTGCACTCGATGGCGCAGTGGGACCGCCGCCTCCTGTGACCACGCCCCCTCTTGCTGTCCACCTGCACTGTGATTGGCTGGCCATACTCGTCCACAAAGTGCAGCTCCTCCCGGCGCCGGTGGCGGGGCGGTTCGTGAGTTTTACCCTGAGGGACGGGAACCAGGAGGGCAGAATGAACTGAGCTGGACAAACAGTTTATTTTAAATAGGAAAATTCATGTTAATGGTGAACGATTAGAGCCAAATGGCTCCAGAAAAGATCTCAGAATATAACTATTCTGGTTGATATTTCAGATTTTCCATGTTGGAAATTTCTGTATCATGTATAAACATCAGAATAAAGGCTTGAAATATTTGACTCTGTTGTAAATCTGTGATTTTCTGATATGAGAGACAAATATTGAAATTTTCACTTTAATTACATTTTTGTACCTGCACCTGAAAATGCATGAAATCTGTTCAACCTTCTCAGAAACCTGGAAATAAACCCCAGCAGCTCGACTGAAGCCAACAAAAGAAGGAAAGTCCGAATCGGGATTCGGTTCCGAGTCGGACCGGATGCTGAGATCAACGCTGGGAAGCAGAGAGACCAGCTGGTTCTGCAGCATTTCCTCCTGAGCTGCGGCGCCATCAAACATTTACAGACGTGAGACTTTGAGCAGGTGGGTTTTATCGTGCAGCAGAGCCTGGCTGAGTGGGAGTTCAGGACCAGGCCGGCCGCCGCTCTTCTAGCTTCCTGCCGTGCCTGGCTGTCATTGTGTTACATAAAGATGATTCACACTCCATTTTATCTGAGAACATAAAAACATTTTGCATAAGCTGAACATGAGGAAACCTGATCGAGCCGAGCAGCAGCTGATTTCCACCTGAAAATAAATCTGGTAAAATCTCAGAATTTAAAATAAAACTTGGATTATATTCTGGTGGCAGGAAGTCCTGTTGAGCACGGTGGTGGAAGAGTCATGATGTGGGCTGCCTGAGCTCAGAGAAACACCCACTTACTGCTGACATTTTACTCATGAATTATGATTTTGTCTGTTGTCAGAAATTTAAATAAAAAAATTGACAAACTTATTTTTTATGTTTTTATTTTAATAAAAAGAAACATTTTTGAATCATTTTATACTTTTTAACAAAATCATTTTTACTTTTGTATTCTTTTAATAAAAATGTAGTTTTTATCATTTTTTGAATAAAGACAATTATTTTTATTGCCACTATGAATTTTTGTAGAATCAAAATGAAAAAATTCCTCCATTGATATTGAAACTTTAATCAGAACCCAAAGACTCCTGTCTCATTCAGGAATTAATCAATAATCAATATTTATGTTGCCGTATTTTAAAATGCTTCCCATGTTTTTTTTAAGCACATATTTGATGCTAGTTGCCATGACAACCAGCACCTGCAGCAGCCACATCTGAACAGGTGTGTTTTAGTGGACGTGTTTCCTGGTCCGGCGCCGCGGCTCCTCATGGAGCCCAGATGCAGCTCCATGTAGGTCAGGACTCAGTCCGCCGTAACCCCACGACCCGGACCGCGGTGTTCAGACAGCGCAGGGCCCCGGGCCCCACACACACACACACACACACACAGTAACACACACAGTAACACACACACACACACAGTAACACACACAGTAACACACACACACACAGTAACACACACACACAATAACACACACAGTAACACACACACACAATAACACACAGTAACACACACACACACACAGTAACACACAGTAACACACACACAAAGAGCCGCACAGCGTCGCGCTCCGCTGCACTCTGACACTAACTCGTCCCGATTCGTCGCCTCGATGTTTGTGAAGCTCAACAAACGCGACGATTTTCCTCCTCGGCCCAAAACTCAGGCAGGAAAGAGACTCGCTGCAGTTTAGCCACTACAGAACCACCAGAACCACCAGAACCACCAGAACCACCAGAACCACCAGAACCATCAGAATCAGAACCATCAGAATCAGAACCATCAGAACCATCAGAACCATCAGAACCATCAGAACCACCAGAACCATCAGAACCATCAGAATCAGAACCATCAGAACCATCAGAACCATCAGAACCATCAGAACCACCAGAACCATCAGAACCATCAGAACCACCAGAACCACCAGAACCATCAGAACCATCAGAATCAGAACCATCAGAACCATCAGAACCACCAGAACCATCAGAACTACCAGAACCATCAGAACCATCAGAATCAGAACCATCAGAACCACCAGAACCATCAGAACCATCAGAACCATCAGAACCACCAGAACCATCAGAATCAGAACCATCAGAATCAGAACCATCAGAACCATCAGAACCATCAGAACCATCAGAACCACCAGAACCATCAGAACCATCAGAATCAGAACCATCAGAACCATCAGAACCATCAGAACCATCAGAACCACCAGAACCATCAGAACCATCAGAACCACCAGAACCACCAGAACCATCAGAACCATCAGAATCAGAACCATCAGAACCATCAGAACCATCAGAACCATCAGAACCACCAGAACCATCAGAACCATCAGAATCAGAACCATCAGAACCATCAGAACCATCAGAACCATCAGAACCACCAGAACCATCAGAACCATCAGAACCATCAGAACCACCAGAACCATCAGAACCATCAGAATCATCAGAACCACCAGAACCACCAGAACCATCAGAACCATCAGAACCACCAGAATCAGAACCATCAGAATCAGAACCATCAGAATCATCAGAACCATCAGAACCATCAGAACCATCAGAACCATCAGAACCACCAGAACCATCAGAACCATCAGAATCAGAACCATCAGAACCATCAGAACCATCAGAACCATCAGAACCACCAGAACCATCAGAACCATCAGAATCATCAGAACCACCAGAACCACCAGAACCATCAGAACCACCAGAATCAGAACCATCAGAATCAGAACCATCAGAATCATCAGAACCATCAGAACCATCAGAACCATCAGAACTACCAGAACCATCAGAACCATCAGAACCATCAGAACCACCAGAACCATCAGAACCACCAGAACCATCAGAACCACCAGAACCATCAGAACCATCAGAATCAGAACCATCAGAACCATCAGAACCACCAGAACCATCAGAACCATCAGAATCAGAACCATCAGAACCATCAGAACCATCAGAATCAGAACCACCAGAACCATCAGAACCACCAGAACCATCAGAACCACCAGAACCATCAGAACCACCAGAACCATCAGAACCATCAGAATCAGAACCATCAGAACCATCAGAACCATCAGAACCACCAGAACCATCAGAACCATCAGAACCATCAGAACCATCAGAACCACCAGAACCATCAGAACCATCAGAACCATCAGAACCACCAGAACCATCAGAACCATCAGAACCATCAGAACCACCAGAACCATCAGAACCATCAGAATCATCAGAACCACCAGAACCATCAGAACCACCAGAATCAGAACCATCAGAATCAGAACCACCAGAATCAGAACCATCAGAATCAGAACCATCAGAACCATCAGAACCATCAGAACCACCAGAACCATCAGAACCACCAGAACCATCAGAACCATCAGAATCAGAACCATCAGAACCATCAGAACCATCAGAACCACCAGAACCATCAGAACCATCAGAACCATCAGAACCACCAGAACCATCAGAACCACCAGAACCATCAGAACCACCAGAATCATCAGAACCACCAGAACCATCAGAACCACCAGAACCATCAGAACCATCAGAATCAGAACCATCAGAACCATCAGAACCACCAGAACCATCAGAACCATCAGAACCATCAGAATCAGAACCATCAGAACCATCAGAACCATCAGAACCACCAGAACCATCAGAACCATCAGAATCAGAACCATCAGAACCACCAGAACCATCAGAACCATCAGAACCACCAGAACCATCAGAACCATCAGAACCATCAGAACCATCAGAACCACTAAAACCACCAGAACCACCAGAACCATCAGAACCATCAGAACCATCAGAACCATCAGAACCATCAGAACCACCAGAACCATCAGAACCACCAGAACCATCAGAACCACCAGAACCACCAGAACCATCAGAACCATCAGAACCATCAGAACCACCAGAACCATCAGAACCACCAGAACCACCAGAACCATCAGAACCATCAGAACCACCAGAACCACCAGAACCATCAGAACCATCAGAACCACCAGAACCATCAGAACCACCAGAACCATCAGAACCACCAGAACCATCAGAACCATCAGAACCACCAGAACCACCAGAACCATCAGAACCATTCTGATTTTACTGAAGATGAAACCAACCAGCATTCAGTGCTGCTGTCAGAGGAACAGGACTTTGGGCTTTAACTAGGCCAGTCACCATAACAAATGTTCCTGGATGATAAACTTTAAGTTCTAAAACACATTTAACCGGAACTGAAAGACATTTTAATATCAAAATATATTAAATGAATTATGAAGTTTCTTAGCAAAATGATCTTTTGAAAAAGCATAAAGAGACGCAGGAAAAACAGAACCAAACCCAGAAGCTCAGTTCTGGTTCATCTGCTGCTCTGGAAACTTTTCCTCTGGTTTCCGGATCAGGATCTGCTGCTTCCAGTCGTCTATTTAAGTTGTGTTGAGATCAGAACCCGAGGCGCCGTCGGAGCGCCGGCCCACACCGGGACACGAAGCCGTCCGGGCCTCAGCGGGTCGACGGGGTTCACCCAGCAGGGCCTGGATTCTCGTCAGGCTCAGCAAAATGGCTGCTGAGCCGTGAGGTTTGTGAAGCGGAGGGTGACTCAGCCTTCGCTTTGTACCAAACTCTGTCCTTCAGGGAGCTGATTGGTGCGGCGGGTCGCCCTTCTCATGCGTTCAGTCGCAGCGCAGACAGATGTGCAGAAGCTTCAGGTTCAATGAGTCGGCATTAAAAACCTCCAGAGGTCAGCGAACGCATCATGACTAAACACTGGAAAACCAACATCAGGAATATTTCACTGGGAAAGTTCTGAAAAGTGCGGCATGCATTTGCATTCTTAGAGCCAGTATGGTTGTGATTGTTTCAGTTATCAGGCAACCAGTTTCCCGTCACAGACCAGAGTTAGGTCTGGACTTTGACTAGGCCTGCATCATAATGCTGCCACCACCGTGTTTCAGATGGAACTGAAGAAACTCTGAGACCAGAACCAAACCAGCTGCACTTTGACTCAGATTCACACTGTTCCTTCCTGATGGTCCAGTCGACCCGGTTCTACTAAAAACAGAACTGCACAATCTGCTGTGGTTCTGAGTCAAACCAGCCTGTTCTCCTCCTGGCCTGTGGGGGCGCTGCACCAACAACCATTGCAGGAAACGACACTAAAACCTCTGAAGACGCTGAGAATAACTTCCTGTTTCACCAGATGAAACAAGATGGAGGCGTCAGAGTTTAGAGTTTAGTGATTTCTCTTTAGTCTTTGGCTGAAGACCAGGAGCCATTTTCCTCCAGGCTGGGATCACACCTCAATCACACCTCAATCACACCTCACCAACTGGACTGGACTTTCTAAACAAACAGGGTGCTGGATCTGCTCAGGATGAAAGATTTTATTTCATAAAATAAATAAAACAACATAAAAACATGCCACACTTTTCAGATTATTTCTTTGCTCAATGTTTTGAAAGTCACGCTTCACTTTTCTATTTTCTGAACAACAATCACAATAAAATCTGTTTGGTTCTGAGGTCCAACAGAACCTGCAAAGCTGGAACAGAACCGCCTCAGAAATGGAAAAAAAACAAAACAATTTCAGGTCAGGATGTTCAGAATCTGAAATCTGAAATTTTTGTTTCTGATTTTTTGAAGAAAACACAAAAAGAAAATGATAAAAGAAATGAACGACGTGAAGAAATGTTCAGCTTCTGCTTCGCCTGTCATCCCTCCATCATCCCTCCATCATCCATCCATCCATCATCCCTCCATCATCCCTCCATCAACCATCCATCCATCCATCCATCCATCATCCATCCATCAACCATCCATCATCCATCCATCCATCATCCATCATCCATCCCTCCATCATCCATCCCTCCATCATCCATCCATCCCTCTATCATCCCTCCATCCATCCATCCATCCCTCCATCATCCCTCCTCTCACCTTGCGGCTCAGCCTGCAGCCCATCGTTGCTCGGCGGTGGACAGGAAGCTGCAGAGAGAAAAGGATGGATGTGTTTCCACGCCGTTCGCCCACCGCCTCACATCTCCAACTCTGCTGACCCACAATCCTCAGCTGATCAGCTGTGGCCCCCCGGGACTCCAGCTCCCATGATGCCGCGGGGCGAGCAGCGGCGGGTGGGCTGCAGGTCCATGGCGTTAAATAAACCCAGATAGAGGGATGAAGAACATCTGTCCTCCTCTTCTTCAGCCTGCTGTGTCTGCAGAGCCGCTCCCAGCAGCCAATCACAGAGCCAGGATGCTGAAGAGCAGAGGCGGGCGCTCTGATTGGCTGAGAGCTCACTGAATCCATTCAGCCCTTTTCTGTCCTTTCTTCCTCTGTCATCACTTTGTTTTTGCTGTGCAGGCAGACAACCTCCCCCCGTTCACCCTTTAACCTCCACCCAGCAGGCATCCAACCATCCAGGCATCCAACCATCCAGGCATCCAACCATCCAGGCATCCAACCAACCAACAATGCAGATCTTCTGTCTTTATTTCTGTAACCTTCTCTTTTCATTCTCTCCTCCATAAAAACAAGTGTTCAGTGCAGCGACTCATCACTCCTCCTGTTTGGTGTTAGAGCGCCATCTAGTGACCATGTGACCAAATGATGCTGAATCCACAGGAATAAAACCTTATAGGAGAATATTCTGTTTTCTATTTATAACACAATATAGTAACTATGTTAAATTCAGTTGTTATAAAAATGCTAAATATATTAAATAAGACTAAAGAAATTTGACTTCCTGATTTAACTACTTGTGTCGCTGTCTCTTTAAGAAGCTCCTGCTCTTTCTGAAGCTCCGCCTCCAGAAAGTTATCCCAACATGGCTCCTCTATTCACCCTTTAACGTTTTTACCAGCGTTGCTCTGAGCAGCTGCTGCTACCATGAGCTCAGCAATTCCAGCTGTTTGCTAATTGATGCTGGCTAGTCTGAAGGAGCCTTGTAGGCGGGGCTAGCTCCACACAGGCATTTAGCAGCTGAATGATTGCCATGAAGAACCTGACATGCAATGCTGGGAGCCATGCAGATATGGTTCTGGTTCTGGATCGGAGTCGGGCAGCTTGCTGTGGTTCTGGTTCTGGTCCGGTTTCATTCACCCTGAGCTTTGAGTGTTAGTCTGAGTTTTCTGTTCAACAAAAACACTTTGCAACCCTGCGTTGTGGTGAAGAAGTTTAATCCTTTTTTTTTTTTTTTTACAGACATTTACATGAAGTTGCTGGTTAGCCAACGGTTAGCCGACATGTAGCCGATGGTTAGCCAATGGTTAGCTGACAGGTAGCCGACAATTAGCGAACAGGTAGCCGATGGTTAGCCAACAGTTAGCTGTCAGTTAGCCAGCAGTTAGCCAATGGTTAACCAACAGTTATTCAACAGTTAGCCAGCAGTTAGCCAACATGTAGCTGATGATTAGCCGACAGGTAGCTGACGGTTAGCCTAGAGTTATCTGACAGTTAGCTGACAGTTAGCTGTCAGTTAGCCGCTGCGGGTGTACAGGTCAGTAAGTGATCCAGTTTCGGTCAGAAGAGAAGCAAAAGCAGAGTCGTCACTTTAAAACATTTTCTCTTGCATTTTCCTTGGACTTCCAGTGAAAACGTCTCCAACTCGATCCGTTCTGACCCATAATGGTTCTGGAGAGAACATTAAAACCCTCGTTACAGTGGAGACAGGGCCGGTCCTTTGTGGACATCTGCTCCGACAGTTCATGGAGAAATGTCACAAATCAACAAAATTATTAAAACTTTATTCCCACAGTCACCAAGGAAACAGAAAACTATGCAACAAAACAAAATCTGACAATCTTGGACTTTGTGTGAAGACGCTAATGTTGTTTTCCGGTGATTGTTCTGGGATCATTTAATGATTAAGATTGGGGATTAGAGGGAAGGACTCGTTAGCTTAGCGCCGGACCTGGACTGCCAGGGTGGGAAACCTGATCTCAGGGTACCTGAGGTAAGATACTGACCACGCCTCAGCAATCCGATGAACCGTCACTTTAATGTCACAATGTAACCTCTGGGAGTTTAACTGGATTCATACGGACGCCTTTTGCAAAGTTACAAAATAAACAGCAATAATTTGAATTATTTAGCGTAAAAGAATAAAATGGGGCTTTAATTTCCAAAGTCATATTTTTCTCGTTCCATTCATTTATTTATGTCACAGTTTTAGCTAAATATTGGCTAAACTGCAAATTCACACATCGATAAATGGAATGCAGAAATTTATATCCATATTTGCTAATTTAGCTCTGAGGTAAATATTTAGTTTGAATAAAAAGAATGAGTTAAAAATCAAATATTTAGCTTCAAACGCAATGTGAAATTTGAAGCTAAATATATTCATTTTAAGTCTAACTATTTGGCTTGCTCGCTTAATATTTAGTTTGCTAAATAGTTTGAAGCTAAATATGTAGTTTTAGTCTAGATATCTAGCTTGTTAGCTAAATCATTAGCTTGCTAACTGTAGCAGCTGCTAATGAAATAATGACTGAAATATGAATCCAATTTTATGACAAGTAGCCCAAATTATTGCTGTTATTTCTGACTGTGTAACTTTACAACGGAAGTCCGCAGATTCGTTTTAAATGTGAGATTTTCACAAGAGTGAGACATCTTTCTAATTGACCAGCTTCGGCAGGTAAACCTGCTTCCAGTGGGAAACTCTTATTTTTCCAGTTTCCGGTCTCCTGTTTGTGTTTGTTCCCGTCAGATCAGCTCGTTTTGCCCCAGGTCTGGTTCTGGTTCTGGTTCTGGTTCCGTTCAGGCTGAATCAGTTTCCAGTCCAGACTCAGTTAAAACAGCAGCTTGTGAATTATTAAGGGTCAGCGGCGGTTCTCCTGGTTCTGCTCACAGCCACAGAGTCAGGAGTCCGGCCAGGCCGGCCAGCAGGACCGGCGCCGTGCTCACAGAACCGGAACCAGCCGAGACGTTGGACCGAGGAAACGTTTTCTGCCAGATCTCCTGCTTCCTGATGACTCTCTCCTCCCTCTTCTCAGCCTCCTCTTCCTCCCGCGGCGCTCTGGATGTGGCAGGGAAGAAGACTTCCTGCTGCACGGTTCCTGGAGGAGGCGAGTCTGCAGCGCTGCGAGCCGTGGGGGTCATACTGGGGGTACTGGGAGCTCTGGGAGTCATGGCAGCAGGAGCAGCAGTGAATGTTGATGAAGGACTCGCAGCAGGAGGCGGATCAGATGACCCCACGGTGACCTCCTCCTCTTCCTCCACCTCAGGACCTACAACACAAAATATTCCACCATGACATCACTTATCATTTCATAACAACTGGATCATAAATTGAGTTCAAATTCAGTTTGGAGGTGGAAGAGGATTTGATACTAAAGAAGAAAGTCAGAAAAAGAAAAGATTTTCTAAATCTGAGGCGAATCAAACTACACAGACAACAGAGGAGTCAGTTTCTGACAAACATCAGAAATGTAATCAATCAATCAATCAAATTAATTTTATTTGTATAGCACGTTCCAGCAGCAAGGCATTTCAAAGTCATAAACACAAAGTCATGCAACATATAATCAACAATACATTGTTCCATATTACATTTCAAATAAAACTCTAATCAGCTGGTTTTTACTTGAGATTTAAAGGAAGTCAGGGTTTCTGCTGTTTTACAGTTTTCTGGAAGTTTGTTCCAAATTTTTGGTGCATAGATGCTGAAAGCTGCTTCTCCTCTCTTGGTTCTGGTTCTGGGGATGCAGAGCAGAACCAGAACCTGAGAGTCTGGAAGGTTGATACAACAACAGCAGATCTTTGATGTATTGTGGTGCTAAACCGTTCAGTGATTTATAAACTAACAACAGTATTTTAAAATCTATTCTTTGAGCTACAGGGAGCCAGTGGAGGGACTTTAAAACTGCTGTTATGTCTCTATCTTCCTGGGTCTAGTGAGAACAGGAGCAGCAGCTTCTGGATCAGCTGGAGGATTGATTTGTTGGACAGGCCTGTGAAGACGCTGTTACAATAATCAATGCGACTAAAGATAAACGCATGGATGAGTTTCTCTAGATCTGGCTGAGACATTAGTCCTCTAATCCTGGAGATGTTCTTCAGGTGATAGAAGGCCGACTTTGTAACTGTCTTTATGTGGCTCTGGAGGTTCAGGTCAGAGGTCATCACTACTCCCAGGATCGCTAGTTTTTAGTTGTAATAACTGAAGCTGTGCATTGACTCTAGATCTATAGCTCTAGATCTATAACTCTAGATCTATAGCTCTAGATCTATAGCTCTAGATCTATAGCTCTAGATCTATAGCTATAGATCTAGAGCTCTAGATCCACAGATCTAGATCTATAGCTATAGAGCTATAACTCTAGATCTATAGCTATAGATCTATAACTCTAGATCTATAGCTCTAGATCTACAGATCTAGATCTATAGCTCTAGATCGTTCCTCTTTAGGTCCTAAAATAATGACTTCAGTTTTGTTTCTGTTCAGTTGGAGAAAGTTTTGGCACATCCACACATTTATCTGTTCTAAACATTTATTCAGTGATTGGATGGGGTCAAAGGTCACCTGGTGACCTCATAATGTAGAGCTGTGTGTCATAGTTATGGTATCTAATATTATTTCCTGTTATAACCTGAGCTAGTGGGAGAATATAAATATTGAATAAGCGGGGTCCTAAGATTGAACCTTGGGGTACCCCACACGTGACCTTTGACCTCTTTGATGAGAAGTTTCCAATTGAAACAAAGAAATCCCTGTTCTTTATGTAGGATTCAAACCAGTCGAGCACCGAACCGGAGAGTCCGACCCAACTCTCCAGTCCATTCAGTAATATGTCAAAAGCTGCACTGAGGTCCAACAGAACCAGAACCAGAACCAGCACCGGGGTTCTCCCACAGTCCATATTTATATGGATATTTAAGAAACAAGATTTTCTGTAATTCACTTTGCTTGAAAAAAATCTAAAATTTTGAGATTGAAAAACATGGAAGTTTATGAAAAGACGAGGAAGAAACGAGTCGGAACATTTCCTACCGCACAGATTGTTCTCACACTTCTGCAGGTTTTCTGGACAGCTGGAGCACCAATCGCCTTCAACGTACGGCCGCTGGTCCTCAAAGTTCCCCCTGAACACACACACACACACACACAGAGATACACACACAGATACACACAGATACACACAGATACACACAGAGACACACACACACACACACACAGATACACACAG